CTAAGTCTAATCATCATTAAGAAAAACACTCCATAAATATTTAGGAGTTCTATATATGATGATATGGATTCCTTTTCGCAATTAAGAAACGATTTACCAAAAGCGATAAAGCGGAAAATGAGTATTCTTCTCAAGAATCTCATTACCATGAAGTACAATGACAAGGGAAACATAAGGGAGTACATCCTGAACATATCTAATATTGCTACTAAATTGAGGGCACTAAGTTAGACATTTCAGAGGACATGTTTGTCCTATTAGTCTTGCTCTTGAAATTAATTTAATTTCAGTTCATAGACACATCTGGAGGTGGATTTTGATGTAACAACTCACATCAGTGTGTTTATGCAAGATTATTTTATTGTCGAAATCAATTGGTGTTGAAAGATACATCTATATGGGTGACGACAAGAAGGTTAAAGCTGAAGTCATTGATAATTTTAGATTATTATTGAGTACTCGTTGCTATTTGAATTTGGATGAGACATTTTTTATGGTACCATATTTAGTCAAAATTTAATTTCGATCTCTATTTTGAACAAATTCAATTATTATTGTTCATTCGGATATAGAGTTTTGTCTCTTCCAAAATTCAAAATTCAAAATTCGTTAGAACTAGTACCTTATTTGATAACAATAATCATCAGTTGCTTAATTGTATGACTATATTATGAATTAGTCATTGAACATATTCATATAACTTCCACGATTACGGATCCGCTTAATTAGTAAAGAGCTTCCACATAAGTTCTATAGTGAGCATATTGCTCGTTTGAAAAGTGGAACCATATTTTGATACTTCGGTTTAGTGGGAGCTAATTAGTAATGTTCAAATACACTAAGGTTACTTTATTTTGTACTGCAGTATTCAGTATGCATTGTTCAGTTTTCATTTTTAATTTAGTGTTCAGTTGTTCTAAATTAAAGTTAAGGTGGATAAGTTGAAAATAGGCATGTTAAGATCACATTACATGAAGTTTCCATGTTGCGCATTCGCACTTGATCGAATCTTAGGTTATATTAGTGTTGTGACCACTGATCGGTCCCATTGCGATAAATGCAGTGACGGCCGCTTTGATCCGCATTGATGTGATTTATAGATGAGATTGGTAATATACATTAAAGGATTTGATAGCAAATTTTTTCATGAGCTCTTAAGGTTATTCAGATAATATTTACCCAAGTGGGAGATTGTTGTATTAAAAATCCAATTGTGGGTTAAATGTAACTATTTGAGCTATCAGTCATATTAAGCCTATATTAAGTGATCTATAAATTTATTGGGCTTAAATATATTTAGTAAGTGCAGGCCTCCAATATGCAGAAACCTGGTAAATTATTAATTGGGTGATGAGGTCAATTAATAAGAAGGGATATAAATAGGGTTGTGATCGCAGGTCTAGACGCAATATCCATTACGTTCCATATCTCATCGTAGGAGTAACGGCAGAAACCCTAGTGGTTTTCTCAGGAGGGGTTGCGCCATAGGCTTGAAGAACACAAAACCCTTCATTATTTGCATATCTGAATCCGACTATGCCGAGGAATAAAGTTAGATCTAATTCGCTTTATTTTTATCTCAATTATGACAACACGGTAGATCCTGGATTTTAGGGTTAAATTCCTGACAAGTTCCAACAATAAAAAGCATACTGCAAATAGCATATATTGATGGTGCATATGTACATTTAAGGAATTTCTTGGTTTCGTCGTTAAATGCAGCATGTCAGCACAATTGAAAAAGGATATCTGTGCTGTCATAGATAATTGGCGGCTATATATATAATCATTGATGTAATTAAATGATTTTATGCATAATTTCTGTATTAGAATCGATTTATTGCTCGACTAAAACACACATTCTAACTTCATAGGCTATAGAATTGAAATAGAATACTCAATTCTTTCTTTTATTATTCGTAGAATCCTTAAGCCTGTATATTATACACCAATTAAGAATAAGTGACTTCCAGTATTTGTAATGATGGACACAGCATATATATAACAAACAAAATAATCCTAACCCACTCAAGTTGTTACAAAGAACTCTCAAATGAATTTAGCTTCACACAGCATGACCCCATCATATAAATAGTTGCAAAAGTGAATATAAATAAGTGTTAAAAGAGTGTCCGTCAATGGTATCTAATAAGTTCTGTCTACTATTGGATTTGACAAATAGCTCGTAATGCTGCGTCTCTTCCGAGACCATCTCAGCCAATTCTTTTTTTTCCAAAGGCCATAGTAAATAATAAGAATAAGTAAGACAATGATTTTGAAACTTGTTCGTGCCATCTAGAATGATAGATAAATTAACCCCCCTCTAATTTTCTTTTTTTGGGGGGTCATTTGGGTCTGGGTGTGTTCTAGAAAAGTAGAGACATGAAATTACACATATAGAAAATGGGAGACTCAGAAGTATACCATGGTGATATTGTCATAAAACGTTTTGCAGATGAATGTCTATAATAAAAATACGGAACAAAAAAGTAGACCTCATTGTAAAGATCTTTTTATTACAATATATGTCCGTAATAAAAAAAAAATACACTACAAAAGTGGACCTCATTTAAAAAACCTTTTGTTACAAAACTAGTCTGTAACAAAGTATGTGGTACTTACCGTGAACTTCTTTTGTTTGAAAAATGTTCGTAACAAAAATACGGTATAAAAGTCATATTTGTATCAAATACAGTTTTTATTGCCACAAAAAAAATACACTTGACTTTTTATTTGTTACGGATCCAGCTGCGTGGCAAGTAACTAAATGAATTATTTTATTATAAATAATCCAAAATCCTCAAGAAATCTTACAAAATGATGTCAATCCGACAATGTTACTAGACATACCAAAAGTAGAAACATAACGGTAAAGAATACTTTAAAACATTCACAACTATGACCGTGCCCTAGGCTATTATAACAACTAACTAATATATAACCGCCAAATTAAAAATATAATACATAAAAATATCAATCCAACTCCGACAAAGTAGAATCTTTAAAATCAGCTAAGAACGACTACTTCGGGCGTTCAAACTTGTTAATTGCAAAAATCACAAAGGCAAGAAGTGAAGGGAGATGAACCAACTTTAATGAAAACCAAGATATAAAAGAATTTATTACTAAAAGTGAAGTTATTTAGTTTCCAAACGAATAAAACTCATAAAAAAATAAGTACGATTCTTTTATGTCAAAGGAATTTCAATTATTGAAATTATTTAATTTCAAACTAAATTAAGCATAATAGAATTTGATTAACACGATAAATAATATATTTCTCTATAAATAAATAAGTACAAAAAGATAAATTTGACCCACAATAATAAAATTTAGATGCCACAGACCTAAATTAAGTTACATGAAGTATAATAATAATAATTATTTAAAGATAATTATGAGTAATTTTGGCAAACTAATTTAGACCCATATAATTTATGTAAAAATAAATTGTAGGTTAAAATATGCACAGGTCACTAGAGCTATATGTAAGTTTTTGCCAATAAAGGTCGATAAATTAACTTATTAAATCTCAACTAAGCTAACTAAAAATTAAAGTCGTCTCACTAACTAATTACACATAGAATTTACAATGACGGAGTCATGGAGATATGAAGAATGAAACAAATAAGAAGAAAAAGTAAACAAAGAAGAAAGAAAATGAAGAAGAAGAGGAAGAGGAAGAGGAAGAGGAAGAAAAAAAACAAAGGAGGAGGAGGAAGAAAAGATGGAAATGGAAACGAAGAAGAAAAAAAGGAGGATGAGGAAGAGGGAGAAGAAAAAGTAGGAAGAAGAAGGAGGTTAGCGGTGGCGTTATGGTTTGATTTTTGAATTATGTTTGATTTTATTTTTATTTTTACTTAAATTATTATACACTAATAAAAAAAATAATACTAATTAGAAGAAATCGAAGAAATTATAATTATTTCTATCAACTAAATAATAATTAGAAAATAAAATTATAGAACATAATAAATAAATTATTTTCAGTTATCAAATTAAATTTTGTAGTTAAATGACAAAATTAAAATAGGTGTATATAACTTTTTTTTTTTTTTATTTATACTAATAATATTAAACGTTTTGTTACCGATTGAATTTGGAAAAGAAATATATAGAATGACATCTCGTTTATAATTGTTACAGATAAATTTTAACGAAATAAATAATTTTTTTAATTTTAAAATAATTCTATATGGATTATATATATATATATGTATATTCATTGAAAATTTTAACATTGAATTATTTGTTACGGTTTGAATTGTGTAATAATTATATCTAGGGTTACGTTCCGTCCAAAATGTAATTATTACAGATAAATTACTGAAATAACTTCTTTTTAATTTTAAAATAATTCTATATAGATTAATATATACATATAGAAAATTTAAATATTAACCTATTTTTCTAGCTTGAATTACGTAACAAATATATATATATATATATGACCACAATCTCATCTAAAATGCAGTTGTTACGTACAGATAAATTATTGGAACAAACACAAACAAAGGTAGACCAGCCATTAACGTTTTTTTCCCGACAAATTTCGTAATAAAAGCTTCTTTTTGTGATGGACTTATTTTCACGGACAACATCCAAAAGTCAATTTTTTGGTAGTGAACTAAAAAGTAAAAATGCAGAAACTATAGACTACAAAGATACATGTACAAGGAGGAGACAACTTGAACAAAAATATAAAATAAAATAAAAGGAAAACTTGATTTATTTTACAATTTATTATGGGAATTAACTTGCCTTATGCCATTCTTGTGTGTTAAACTATATTATATAATAGAGAAAACTATTTCTAAATTTTACTATCACACTTTAAATATACATCAAAACAATCCAAACAAACACAAATTTCATTTAATTAATTTACATTGCAACAATAATAATATAAACTAACAGGGAGGTTGATAAAAATAATATTACCATAACATAAAGAATTTGCTTTAAATAAGTAATACCCAACTTTGCGTTCTCTTAAATCTTTCATAACAATTAGCATTATTGTAAGAATATATATATATATATATAAAACGAACTTCAAAATAAGCAACCTTCAGAAATTCTATGACCTGAAAATCAAAGCAAAATAAGTGTTACATCGTAAAATCAAGCAAGTGAATGATAAGCCAAAATCTTTAAAGACTTCTTAATGGTTTACCTTACTCCATCCTCAAATCTTCGATAAACACGTTGCATAGTATAAATGTCGCGACTTCATTTATTGATCGAAACTTTTTTCCCATAATAGTATGTATGTAATACTACAAATATTTTCGCAAAGTCAACTATAAGGCTAAATATGATGTAGATTATAATGCATTCAATTTAATGTAAAAAAGTTAAATATATTAGCTACCTTGTCTCTACGTTCGGATTCGTTAAACTTGCGCTGCTCTACTACCCAATTCCCCAATCGTTTATTTAGGGGAATCTTGCTCCTTGGTTGAAGATTGATATTGTTACAAATTTGAACTGTAGGCCTTGTTGTAATAGGTTCATTCATGGAGAGAACCCTTGTATTTACTTTATTTGAATGAACTGTTGATTGAAATCTCCTAGTTTTTTCGCCTTCAACCTATTGTACAATTAGAATAATAACAACAACAACAATAGTATTTTAAACTTGTAATTATTATATTATATGTTGTAAAATACGTACCTCATGCATTTCCAATATATAACAATTTAAAGCATCACTTCGTTGGAGAAGTCTAAAAACTATTCTCCAGCTCTTTTCAATTGTGGTTTTTGATAAACCATGTGCACTACTTCCTTGTATGTTTTCCTCGGGAGATAAATCATGTAGCTCCTATGATATAAATTTCTTTGTTAGTACTTATAAATTTTTATTCAAGAGAAAAATATATAACAATTATAATTAATAAATTGCATGAAGTAAGCAATTGAAGTTGACAAATTTTACAATATTTTTTATTACCTTCCAACAAGCTACATAAAATATTTTAAGTTAGACATAAATTTTGTTTGATAAACTGTTATTAAAGTCAAAATTTTTAGCAAATATTTAACTAATGATTTAAAAAATAATTATAGAGTATATTATAATGTATATGGTGAAAAAAGAAGTGTCATATATTTTTAACTTATTTAGATAACTACATGTTTGAACTAAGCATTATTTACAGAAAGTACATAATTTTCATGTATGCATTTTTAAATATACATGAAACAATTATGACATACTTGAAAGATGTAGTGCATAATAAACAGTATAGAGCTCTGAAAGTTTTATTAGAGAGAATATTAGGCTTGATTTATTGAAAATTTTCTTTGTTATCTTGAACTTATATGTATTTTTATTGCCCGAAGAATCTATGAATCTATAAGATGTGTTTTGTTTGAAATCCAAGATGGAAAATTAATTGTGGATTGTAAAATTGTTTTTAACATTGGCGATCTATGGGAAGTTGGGGCAATATGCTAATGTAGATTCTATATTATCAAATTGTATAGATAAAATATACAAACACTGTAAACATAAAATCTGCCTGAACTTCCCTTAGGCAAAGTACTCTTCTAAATTCTCAAATGCCCCAACAATGAAAAATCGAACCTCCTTCCAAGAATTGTCATAGATTATGAATTCATCAATTCCCTTTGAACTATTTATGTGTCAGACCATGTGTAAAATTTTTTTGTTTCATTCAAGAAAAATCCATTTTCATCACTCTTCATCATATTACGGAGATAAGTTGGTAGCCTCTTTAAAGCTTGGTCCAAAATGATCATTCTATCTATCAGTGTCAATTTTACCAAGATTTCAAAGGATCTTTTCTATTCGGTGTAATTCTAATTTATATGGTGTTTGTGATAAAGATCTTTATTTTCATGTGGATTACATATAATGAATATAGTGCTATCTTTAATAACGAATGTCACACTAGACTAAGAGAGATTTGGAAGACTTTGTGAATTCACTGAAGTAGGGAAGAAATCTTGTAAGAGAAACATAGATGACACTATTAGTTTCTACAAGTGATTTAAGAGTACATCCTAGGAAGTTATATAGATACTGATGAGAAACTATTGACAAAAAAATAACAATATTTTCACATTGGCGTTTATCATCATATCTGAGCCATTTCAGGACCAAAACATTGGCTGAGCAATGCCGAGGAGCGTCGAGGAGGAAGTAATACAGAGGAGCACCGAGGATAGAGCAATGCAAAGGAGAATGCTGAGGAGCACCGAGGAGGGAGTAATGCCGAGGAGAATGCAGAGTAGCGCCGAGGAGGGGCCTACGGTGCACAAACACGGAGAGGCTAGCGAAGATCCTTTGAGACATTCCGGAACCTTCTAGAATATTCTGGAACCTCCTAGAATATTCTAGAACATTCTAGAAGTACTGAGATCACCCTTTGACCGAGTTGGTGTTTATCCATTAGACTTAGTCTATCCATATTTTCTTAATTAGCTTTCTTTATCGGTATCTTGTATAGATAGAGTTTATCCGAGTGTGGATTTTCTTTGACCTGTGTTAGGTCCGGTGCATTAGAGTGTCTATATATAGGGGCGGACTCCTCAGTTGTACTTCACTTCAGTTTCTAAAGAGCTAATAAACATTCTACTTTGTCGGGTACATCTTGGTGGGAAAAAGTCCAATAATGCTTGGTTTCCAGCCCACAACACCAAAGCATTTGGTGGGAACAAACAAAGGCCCGAGCCCGCCAGTATTCTACTTTGCCAAGTGTTGGCAAGATCGTGCAGAAGTGGCCCGACTTTACTTTGAGAAGTTTCAAAAAAGAATGAAGAAGTGGACCAACAAGAATAGGGTGTTTTGAGAATTTAGATAAGGGGACCTGGTGCTCGTAAAGCTATACCAACTTGGACGTGTGCAAGGGGTGCACAAGGGCTTGATGCGGAGGTACGAAGGCCCATTCCCGGTGCGGAAGAGGGTTGGCGAGGTGGCATACAAGGTCGAGCTTCCAAAGGCCCTATCCCAGCTCCACCCTGTGTTCCACGTCAGTTTATTGAAGCCATATCGCGAGGATGTCCAAGATCCGAGCTGGAATGAGTCAACAAGGGCACCCCCAGGAATACGGACGGTGTATGACAAAGTGGCCGAGGAGATTGTTGTAGATAGGGTAGTCCAACACAAGAATAGACCACCGTCGACGGAGTACCTGGTCAGATGGCGTGGACTACCCGAGTCCGAGATGAGTTGGGAGACGGAGAAAGACTTATGGCAGTTTGAGGAGCTTGCTGAGATTTTGAGGCATTAAGGACAATGCCTAGTTCGAATGGGGAGGATGCCCCAAATCGAAGCATTGGCCGAACAATAACAAGAAGCGCCGATGAGGGATTAATGCAGAGGAGCGCCGATTAGGGAGCAACGCAAAGGAGAATGCCAAGGAGAAACGATGAGGGAGTAATGTCGAGGAGAATGCAGAGGAGAGCCGAGGAGAAAGTAATGCAGAGGAGTGCCGAGGAGGGAGCAACTCCAAAGCACGCTAGAAAGTAAGAACACTGCAAGATGCACCTGGAAAAGTAAGAACACTACCGAGGAGGGCCTGCGGCGTGCAAACACAAAGAGGCTAAAGGATATCCTTCAAGATGTTCTGGAACCTTTTGGAATGTACCGGAACCTTCCGAAATATTCCGGAACCTCCTGAAATATTCCTGAACATTCTACAAGTACTAAGATCGCCCTTTGACTGAGTTGGTGTCCATTAAACTTAGTTTATCCGTATTTCCTTATTTAGATTTCTTTATCCGTATCTTGTATAGATAGAGTCTATCCGAGTATGGATATGCTTTGGCCTGTGTTAGGTCCGGTCCATTAAAGTGTCTATATATAGGGGAGGACCCTCAATTGTACTTCACTTCAATTTCTAGAGAGCTAATAAACACTCTACTTTGCCCGCTGCATCTTGCAGTATTCTTACTTTCTAGCGTGCTTTAAAGTTGCGAACAAGGCTGTACTTAAGATTTCTCGATTGTGTCAAGGAATTGCTAGGGTGACGGGAAGGTATTCGAGGAAGAACCATCCGACCCGTTACACTAGGAAGTTATATAGATACTGATGAGAAACTATTGAGAAAAAAATAACAATATTTTCACGTTGGCGTTTATTATCATATCCAAGCCATTTCAGGGTTTACTCACTTTCTTTCTAAATTATAAATATCATCTGAATTTAATATGTTGTCGTAAACTACTGGACCCAAACATATTAGCTATGGTAAAATTTGTGTTAAATATCCTACAATAATTTATTCATTCATTCCACTAAAGTAACTATGAATTGTAAGTAAAAGTTAAAATAAAATTTTAAACAAATCCAAGTATTTAATTTTTATTAAATACTAAATTGTTTCATTAGCATACTTGATGGCACTTTTCTTGTTTTAGAATAACAATAGGATATTGGACACACATACATATTCCTTTCATCAGGTATGGTCAAATATCACTTGTAGGATAGGAACATACACATTTTAAGAGAAATGAAATGGAAAAGACAACAAAAGATATCATTGAATATTTAAGATAATTGTGATAAATTACATACCTGAGGTTCAACTACTTGTTCGGAGACCAGAGATGCAAATGGCCGCGGACAAGGGAGCGTAGAAGAATCTGCAGATGGAATATTGACTCCCGTCTTTTGCAACACATGAAATTTACAAGGTATCCATAATAAATTAAATTTTCTTAAACATAAAATGGAACGTTGGTAAATATTGATCAAATAACAAACCAACATAATCTATTTTTGAAGTTTTACTAAATGGAAAAAAAATGAAAAAATAACCAAAAAAAATAAGAAAACCATTATGAAAACATCAACATTCGGTGAGTTTAGCATGAATTTTAGAAAAAAACAATCATAGGGAGACATAAAAATGACAAACCCTAGACTCCATGGATGATGAAGGAGCTCCAGTTGATTCCATTGCTATGTGTTCTGCAATGACATAAATTATTGTATATTACATTTTCATTCATCAAACTGGCTAGTGAAATCAAATGAAGAATCATGAATAAGAAACCCCAAATGTGTGAAGAGGAAATAAAATATGAACCAAAAGAAATTGACTTCATATTTAGTACATTCATTTGACCGTTATTGGTTACTAAAGAGTTTTTATGTAAACCATATGTTTAAATTCAAAGCTATGATGAATGACAACATATTCCCCCTTTATAAAAAAACCTATAAGCATTGTAGAAGGAAAATAAAAATGCCACCAATTATAAAATGTGACTTCAAAAAATTAGTCATGTTAGTATTTAATCATTATCCAAAATGGAGTTCCGAAGAGTAGGTGCAATTAGTTCATACTAATTAAATCATTATTGGAAATGAGTAGGTGCAAGTAATATATATGTATACGATGCATTAATAAAAAGAAAAAAGAAAGATAGTTGGGATAAAATATACTCCCTTGGGACACAGTTTTTTAGGCAATGTAAATTAGTAAGTTATTAATAATAAGTTATGATATTAGTTTATTATTTTTTATATGAATAATATTATTGGTATCTTAAAATTTTTTAAGATTATATCTCGAAAAAATATATGCAATATGGATATCATTTTGTAGATAATAAAATTTTATATAATATTTATTTATCATTACCATAAATTAGTTTTATAAAAAATGAGAAGTTTTAAATATAGATAAAAAATTATGTTAATTGAGGACAGAGAAAGAAATAAAGGGGTTTTGAGTCGATTCTATGGGTAAAATGTTGAAAGTTTAATTAAATTGATTTATATTTTTTTTAAGTATGTTTAAGATTGATAAAATTATCAAAAATGGAAAGATATCATCTTTTGTGGGACGTACTAAAAAAGAAAAGAGGTCATTCGTGGCGGAACGGAGGGAGTAATATTTAGTAAGTAAACAAAGTTAGATAAGAAATTAAAAGAAATAGTTATAATAGATGTTGAATTAGAAATTAAATAAATAAAAAAAAACTGAACAAAAATATAAACACGGAATAAAAAAATGTAGAAAAAAGAAAAAATTGAAATATATTATAGCAAAGGATCTCATATACATTTCTTTGGTTTTTAAAATCAAAAGCCAATCAGCCAAACACACTTTAGGTCCTTTGTGCGTTTCGAATCAACTACAAAAGTTGTTCGACTCTATGGTCTTTCAATTGTCTCTAGAATAAAAATCCTTAATTCTTTTCAGAAGATCTGTAACTTCAAAATTCTTTGGTTTCTTAAATTTCTTTACTACCAAAAATAAAATTACATAAAAATATATAGTCAAATGTGTGACTTGATTATACGCAAAATGTATACTAATGAGATTTCCTCTTACCTGTGGCTAAAAGACAAAATTGATCTTTAAATCTCCTCACCTCCTTGCAAGCACCCAAACTTTGTAGGTTAATCTACTTGAAAAGAAAGCTAATCCGATTTACAAAGGGGGTACCTTAAAGCTAACCTACAAACACTTATTTTATAAATAAATACTCATAAAACATAAGGCAACACAAAAAAAAAAAAAAAAAAAAAAAAAAAAAAAAACAACAATTCTGAAAAATCATTCACCGGAAATAGCTACACAGTTGTCGGACACTCTCAGAAAAGTTCACCAGAATACGACCACAGGATAGCTGAAATTTCCTAACTAGCTATAGAGAAAAACGGCGCAATGATAACCCTAAATTTACACCACATATATTTATATATAAAAGTAATTGGTGGTCTAGATCAAATCCCTAGATTGTATGGTGGATATTAAAGGATGCGAGGTCATGCGGCTCTATGAGTCGGGCTACATCTTGGGCCATTTCTTGGGCCAAGCTAAATATGCCAGGGATATTCTTATTCGATCCAACTTAATGAATTTATGCCCATTTCATTTTGGCCATTAGGCAAGTCATTACAAGCGATGGCTCCCTTTATTGCGATATCACTCGTTGCAATTTTCCTTTTCGGCAAGTTTATATATTTTCTTTCTAACTTTCTTTTCATTCTAAATATATTTTTAGCCTTTATTTCCAGTTTTAATTCAATTAAAATTTTAAAGTTTTTTCCTTTTTCATTTACATTGGCGGATTTTCCGATAGTCTGTTTTTTCTCAGACACAAAATATTCACTAAGGGGCTTTCTGGAGTTCCCTAGAGATCCTTTTCTATTCTTTGACCCGTTTTATCAAACCGTTGTGAGATTAAGAAATCCAAAGTTTCGGATACAACAACATAAAAATATTTCTATAAATATTTAATTCATTTCAGACAAAACTATTTCAACAGAGTAATCAATCACTTGCCCACAAATTAAAATTGTTTTTCCAGTATCTATTGCAAAAATCATAATATACAACTAAAGAGTAAAAATGCTAAAATTGCAGACGAAAAAGATGCATGTGCAGAGAGAACATGTCTTGAAGAAGAAATAAAAAAGGGTTCCTTGGATGGTCCGATAGTATGGGGTAGCCACATGTGTTCAAACCCCTGCTCGCACTCGATTTGACAATTTATATTGTCGGAATTGACTTCCTCTCATGCTATTCTCTTCTGGTAAACTATAATGCATGTCATACTCAAATAAATAAAACAATCCAAACAAACACAAATTTCATTACATCAATTTAAATTGCAACGTTAATAATATGAACTAATAGAGGATATTGATAAAACAACATTAACATAGCATAAATAAAATTTTCAACGGTGGTGATTACTATACGGGAATGGAGAATCTCTTTTCAAATGTGATGAATTTATATCTCGTAATAAAAAAATATGGGTGTATTTTAGTAAAATTGCACAAAAGATCCTATATTTTATTTATGGCGTAAAACCCCTTGTGTTAATGTAAAGTTTGTTTTTTATTTAAATAAACTTGCATTAGAACCAAACATCAATAGATAAAACACAGATGTTTAATGCGGGTGGTATGTAATTTACCCTAAAAATACAATGTAACTAGCGGAATACCCGTGCTACGGACAGTCAAATCAACGAAAAAAATTATAATCATATTTTTTTATTTAATAGTAATTTCTTTATATATTATATATATTTTTAATCAATATAAAAAAATAAAATAATATCAATGAATTATACTATCTCCGTCTAATTATAAAGTAAATATTTAATTTTGTAGCATTTTACTTTTATTTCTGAATTGAATATAAGATTATAATATAATAGTATTATTAAATATAGATGAAATATTCTTTAAAAAAATTCCTACAGTGGATGTAAAAAAATATTGGGTTATTATTTTAGGGATAAAAAAATAATTAATAAAAATTTTGTCATAAAAAAACAGTGCTAAAAAATTATACAAAAATTCAAAAAAATATAATTAATAAAAATAAATATGAATCAAATTGATTGTTATCCATCTATTCAAAATAAAATTAAAATTAATAAAAATAATATATTGTAGGAATAAGATAAATATTTGTTACCAAATTGGATAACTCATCCATGAAAATTTATTAAATATATTATATATAGAAAAATATTCTTTAAAAAAATTCCTATGGTAAAAAAATATTGGGGTAGGGATTATTTTTTCTACAAAATTTATTGGATAATTCATTAATAAAAATTTATTAAAAACTCAAATTCATTTAAAAATTTACTTTTAAAAAAAATAGACTTCTGCTCCTGGTTTTCTGGTAGAAAAATGTTGTCTTCTACCGTAAAAAAATAATTAATAAAAATGAATATGAATCAAATAACAGGAAAATATAACAACTTGAGGAATAAGTAAAAGTTTTATGTTGCTTTTGCCATAAATAAATTTTTTTTTTAAAAAAAAACACCCTGTAAAATTTGGCTGAAGAAAAAAAAAAGAACAATACTGTAAAACTTGCCTGAAGAAAAAAGAAAAAAAAAAGTGTAAAACTTGCGTGAAGAAATTTTCTTCTCGTAATCTTCTCCAATAAAAGAGATAAAGTTTCAGATTTTCGTTCACTATAACAACTTTAGTGAAAAACTAATCAATTTAAAAATAAACTTCTAAACTGTATGTCTACTACCGTGTAAAAAATTGTAAAAACAAAAAAAACAAACTTATGGTGTGTTTGTTCGGGAGATTGAATTAGATTTCCATTATTTATCCCATTTTTTTCCCCCAAAAAATATCAAATCAAACACATTTTTTATTTTTTATATTATACTAAAAATAAATTTTATATTCAAAACATCACATCAACACCTATTTATATCACATCATACCACTATTCAAATTCAAAATTTTTACTATTCAAATCTCAACTTAAAATCCAAGTCCTCAAACAAACACACCCTAAAAGAAAGAAAAAAATCTCAAGAAATTTATAAAAAATGTGGTCCATGTTTTGAGCTCTTTTATATTAACATTAAAATAAGGTTAAACTAATAATCTGGGAATGAAGACAAACCATAAATCAAACAAACACACGTATTGAATTAGAATCAAACTTCCCTGTCCCTGATCGTGTTAATTAGCACACCCAAATTCACTTTGAATTTGTAACGAAATCACAATATATGAATGAAACGTCTCAGACCAATCAGCCGCCGACATCTTCGTTTTAATCAGCGAGCAACGGCGGCCCTTTCTTCTCAACTAACAGCTCCGGACAGCACTCTTGTTCGATGAAACCGACCGACACAGCTTCTAACAGATTCATTGACATCGCCTATATCTGAGACAGCAACGGCCGTTGTGTTCTTCCTAACAGATCCCGCAAACGTAGGTGCACATCAAATCAACTTCTCTGATGGATTCCAATCTTCTTCTTCGTTCTTTCTTCGGAAAAGGTACAGTTGGTTTTCAGCTCAGACCCAAGGTGTCGTAATAGCCTATGATTTGAGAAAGAATATAAAAATTACTATCTACAAAATAATGTTTATATTAGATATATTTTATTAAAACATATACTCTATCCAATCGAAAGTAAATGCTTTGTCAATTTTGTTTATTGAGACATACTCAGCCATCGCTCTCCTATGTGTGTCACGTTTGTCACTTTTGACAATAAGATTGCCTCGCATGAATGGGTGATATTGAAGTACCAACGCAGTCTTGAAATCAATTAGTTGTTTTAAAGGCCAGGCCGGATTACCATATAATTTGTTTTTAGGAGATATCTTTGGAATTGAATATGAAAATATTGCATAAATTTATCTTCCAAGTTCATGAGTTGACTGAAAAATTTAACATAAAAATCGAGTTGGAATGGCATTGAGTGATTCCCAAAGTTCCCATGAACCCTGTCAACTAGGCATCTCGCTAAGGATTGCCATAGAGTCCAATTCAAAATTGCTCTTAAATGGATCTATAACTTCAATCAAATGTGGCAAATCGACTCTCAAAGTCATCATTTTTCTTGGCATCTATTATCACCTAAAATTAATCATGGATTAGCATAACTCAACATAAAGTTATCGCCTGTGCAAGACTAACAGGCGCGATGAGCAATTGGAAACACCCGATCGAGCATAGTATGCCTAGATGAGACGCCCAAACAAAATGCGTAGGCACCCAGACATATGCAGATGGTGCCCAGACAAATGCAGATGGTGTCTGAACATATGCATATGGCGCCCAGACTAATGCAGAAATCGCCCTGACTAATGTAGAAATTGTCTGAACTGATACAAAAATTACCCGAACTACTGCAGAAGTTGCCTAGAGTATTGCACAAGTTGCCCAAATTAATGTAAACGTCGTCTCTACTGATGCGTAAGTTGCCCGGACTGATGCAGAAGCTGTCGGGATAGGTGTCCAGCCAGTGTCAGATGATTGCAGAAGATTGGGTGTATTTTTTAGGTGGTTTGGATGTAATAAAAAATATTTACGATGGTCTGGCGTATTTTTCAAATATATTTACAGGGCGCTGCCATATTTCTTTTAGATAGTCCTGGTACTGTTAGATTTATTGTCCAGAAGAGGGGCCGCGCTTATATTTTAGATAGTCTGATATTGTCATATTTACAGAAGGAGAGGTGCTATATTTTGGATAGCTGGGACATTTTCAAATTTATTTTTCACAAGATAGTAGGACGCTGCTAGATTTATTTTATAGATGTACAATAGTGAATGCGTATTTTAGAGAAGTAGAGGCGCCAAACCGTGATAAAATACTATATTTATTTTATTTTTATCCAAAGGCTGCATATATTTTCATATATAGCGCCCCAACCAAGGCCTAATTAGAATATTATATTTGTTTTATTCTATCAATCTATTTTAGGAAGTTAGTTTCTAAATTTAGAAACTTATAAAATAATTTAAATATGGTTCCAATATATAATTATATTTCTTTTATTTTCTGTAATTTATTAAGTTTTTGCATTCTTTTCTTCTTCCTTAAATTTTTGGTCACTACGACTAGGTACGAATCAAAGATTTAATCACTTTAAACTTTCTAGAAAGAAGTATTTGGTTATCACCTGATTGAAAAATTTCATCCCACAGTAAGAGCATCGTACAAATGTGGAAACAAATTGGAAGAATTTCTGTCACATTAGAATTACTGTTGAGTTACTTTGACAAAAAGCAATCTCATTTTGTGATGGATGTCAAGTCGATAATGTTGTTGGATGAATGGAGCCATATTTGGCACTAAGACATTGCTTGGAAAGATAGGGATTGCTCTAGAATATGTTCTCATTTGATTATGTGGATTATCTCCTAGTTGTCTATCA